CCTTCTTTGTACTAAATCATGGATGTTCTTGTAATATGTCTTGGGCTCAGGAAGGACTAGTTGGCCTGAGTCTTGTTGTATTTGGCTTTCTCATTGAATAAAATTACTTTACCTTTTTCCAAAAAAAAAAAAAAAGTATGGACCCTACTCCCATTTTTTTTTTTTTTTTTCTGGTTGTGGTGGGGGTGGGAGAAGGGGAGAGAAGTATAGAACTATGGCTGACAAAAATATAGTTATAACATTGCTAAACCAAAACTCTCATCACTGTACCCCTAGACCTGGGGCCCCTCATTCAAGCTTAGCTGTCTCTACTCCTTCCCCTGCAAGTGAATTGGCAAGGTCATTGTCTAATATAGACATCAATCTGAATGATCTGCTGAGCCTAAAAGCCAACTCTTTGCTTTTATAATTTGATGTCTGAAGGGACAAACAATTGAGGAAGCAGAGAACCACCCAAGTACCACTTGGCAATCAGCCTCAACAATCAAATCATTCCCACTTGAGTAGTAAGCCAGTTTTAGGTCCTTGTAACAATGAAAAAAGTCAAGCTCCAAGGTAATTTTCTTCTCAATTGGACTGGAGTAACTCAACATGATATTGCTCACAACATATCTTAAAATGCCACTGTCACCGGATGGACTGGGATTACCAAGGGAATGGCCAGGTTGAATTTTATGTTTCTTTTCCTTCATGTCACCGAAGCTTGTATATCTTTCCCCCTTTGTAGAGCATAACCAGCAATCACTTGTCAGGCTAAGAATGGAGTTCATGGGTACTCTTTTGAATTGTCCTCTAGTGGAGATCAAGTGAGCTGCACTTGTGTTATCATATCAATCCTTTCTATGATTCTTTTTTCTCAACTTTTCTTCTCACCTTAGCTTTTGAGCCTTTGCGTGGTTTTACTATGAACATTTTTTTTGATATATGGTTTTACTATGAACATCATCATCATCATCATCATCATCTTCCAAACCTTATCCCAACTATATGGGGTCGGCTATATGAATCCTGTTTGCCAGTCCATTCTGTTTAATGGCATACCTGTTGTTAAATTGTTGGCGCTTAAATTATCCTTACTACTTCCATCTATGTCCATTTTAGTCTACCCCTTGCCCTTCTAGCCCCTTCAACTCGTAAGTTGTAACAAATCAGTTCCTCTTATGGGTGCTGTTGATGGTTTTCTATGAACATGACCACACCATCTTAGTCTACTTTCTCTCATTTTATCACCAATTGGAGCTACTCCTAAGTTCTTACAAATGATTTCATTTTTTTAATCACCATATGCATTTCTGCCACACTCATTTTCTGGATATGTTGTTTCTTGACTGCTCAACACTTGCTCCATACAAGATAGCTGGCCTTACAACTGTTTTATTGAATTAGGAGTTTTTGGTGCGTTGCATTATTAACTCTAGGCTGTTGAAGGCTTATAACATCTCCATTATGTATTGTACTTGGTATATATTTATTTATACTTTCCATTATGATATTTTAAGTAGCAGACTATTTGCATTTGTTCTTTCTAATTTGGTCATTTGCACTCCAAAATTAAGAGAGTTTTTTTTTTTTTTTTTAACTTTCTAAAGTACAACTGTAAAGTGTAAAATGGATGCTTCTCTTTTGGTTTTACTGATTGGTATACTGATACCAGCTAACAAGAGGTTGTTATGGACCATAAAGAAATTGAAGCTCTGTGGTGTATACATCAATATATTTTATATTTTTCCTAATAAATATATCTGTCTTTTTCAGGGAGAAAAGGAGAATAAGTTTTCTATTTATATTCATTCCAGACCTGGATTTGTGTTCAACAAGGCAACAACAAAATCTGCATTTTTCTATGGCCGCCAAGTTAATGATAGTATACAGGTTTTCAGTACTTGCACTTAAATAAGTTTGAAAATAAATCTTGAATTGATACACAAGGAAATTGTTATGAAATTTGTGTACATTTCATTAATTAATTGTTACAGCAATCTCCATGGTTTTCACTGGTTTTTATATTTGAAGTTGATTGTTATAAGAAGATCAGTATTATCCTTTTTCAAATAAATAATATATGATCAAACTGTTATTGCAATATCTGGGCATATTTATATGAACTTTTGTAGTTCGGATTGCATAGAAGTTCTGAATCTGGATCATGGATACATAGAAATAAGATTTTTGTCTGCCGGTTCTGCCCTAAACCTGGTCATTTGTCACATGTCAATAATAAGTGATCCTTGCTTGTTTGGCTCCTCGTCTGGTAAAAGTTAGGTTTTTAATAGCATCTTATCATTTTAGGATCTAAGTCATGTAACCTGCTTGTTGTTAACATCATTCATTTAGCAGCTAGGGTTAAATTCAATTTTCGTATGTAAGTTTTATTGGCTCTATATGTTCTGTTCACTCATGATTTTGTATCAGGTAGATTGGGGAGAAGCCAGCATGATCCAGGCAGAGCGTATTTTGTTAAAAAATGCACTTATGGATTCTTTTAATGAGCGTTTTGTTTTCTTATCAGACAGGTGAGCTTTGATCTTAATAATGGCTAGTAGAGAAATTTCTCCAAACATGTCATTTCAAATTTTCTTATATGAGTTTTGTATATAGCAGTCTTTTTTTATCTAAATACCTCATACTCTTTTAGTAAGAGATATTCATACTAGGTTAATGGAGATGAACATTGACATTTTTGTTGCTAGTTCCTTTTCAATCATTAACATAATAAAGCTGCCACTATTTGAACACGTCTGTAATAAGTGGCTCCAGCTAAATTTGACATGTGTGCTAAAAGAGGACAAGGATTTGATTGCCAATGAATGGTGAGATTACATGGTTTACAGCTTTACATAACAGCTTGGTGGGAGTTATGCATTTCTTTCAAGTTTGAGTATGTTTCTATATTTTAATTTCTGATTGTCGTTGGCATATCATACCTAACCTAGTAAAATATTACTATATTATAAATCAGAGTCAGAAAGAGGCCCCCTCACTAATGGTTTTAGTGATGTTTTTTGTCCTTCCATTATGCTCCATCAAGTGCCATGTTTTTTTTTATCAAACTGTAAGTCCTTAAATTTTTTTTACCACTTCAGATCACATTTTCTTTGGTCTTTTCCTTACTCTTTTAGAGCCTTCTACTTGCACCATCACTTCTCACTGGTGCAGTCATTGATTATCATTCACATGAGAACACTTTCTCAGTTGGCTTTTCCTCATCTTGTCAATCACAAATGATTAGAACTTTTGCTTGTGTTTGTGTGTGTGTGTATGTATATATATATGTTAATGTTGAAGACTTGGCAAAACCAAGGATAACCTACCTTTGAGTTCAGATCTAAGTTGTATTTTTTCATTCTACTGTAACTTAAATGACAAATTTAATAAATTTTCTTTGGTTGAGAAAACCTTGATTCGTGATCTAAACTGTGCATTTTATAAAACTACTTGTTCAGATGGTCATGTATTGGTTTCATTTACTTGGGATGCGATTTCATCAAGAAGTAGTAAATAGTAATAATTTCTCAATTCGTATGTCCAATGCTTTTCTTTTCATTTGATTTTATGACAGCTGCATACCTTTATACAACTTCAGCTACACATATGACTATATCATGTCAACATCAAATAGTTTTGTAGACAGGTAAGTGGGGTAAAGCCTTATCTCCTTTCCTAGGTGAATAAAATTTCTTGATTTATCAACATCTATTAACTTGAATTTATGAGTTGACAATAGATTTATAAGCATTCTTTTTCATTGGAAAAATGCTTGAATGACATTTGCAAAAAAAAAGGAACTTAAATATTGTGTTCAGAAATGCTTACATTTGTATTGCATGATTTGGTAGATGGACTTCAATTTTGTTTGAAAAAATACTGTAATTACTTGGAAAGCTGAGTTCTTCTGCAAACTTATATGAAAAAAAAACTTCTTATGTGCACAAAGAAAGTGAAGTCTTCTATGCAAGGTTCAAAGTATCGATATGTATCGGCCCATATCGGAGCCTTCCCGATACGCCCCTACAGGGGGTGTTTTGGGTTGGCAAGTGGGGGTAGACCGGCCATAACCCGGCCCCTCTGAACCAGATTCGGGAAAAAAAGAAAAAAAAAAGAGTACCAATACAGGCCGATATGCCCTACCGGTGTATTGCCCTGTATCGATACTTTGAACCTTGCTTCTATGAATATAAATTAATCAAAGGACTATTTTCATCACACCATCAAATCTGAGATGTATGATTTTTTATTTTTTTAAGGGTGCCTATGTGATCTATTATCTAGTATCATATAATTCAATATTTTGGTATTTTTTGCTTCATGGGGCTACACGACAGGGGTAGGCCATCCCCTATCCTCCCAACCCTGCTGGCAGCGGCATTTGATCCCAGGCCTCTGCTACGAGTCAGAGATCCTACCAACTAAGCCACCATCAGTTGGTAAATTTCGGTATAACTATATGGGATCATAAACATTCAGGATTTCAGGGAAAATCCATGTCATACGTCTAAATTGTTTTATGAAGTAGGGAGTTTGGCAATCAACAAGCAGCACATCCATAAAATGAGCATAGAAGAGGATGTTGAGATGGATGAATAACAAACTAGAAATGATAGGATTAAAAATGCGTTATTAAAGGGAGTCTAGGAGTAGAAGCAGATTAACATGGCTTGGGCATGTTCAGAAGCTATCTACTGCACCAATAATGAGTCATTTGATGCAAGCTGATGGTTTTGGAAGGGCTAGAGGAGGGTCAAAAAGGACATGGGCTGAGATGGTGAGAAATGATCTGGGGGATAACCATTTGACAGCAGATATCAACCTTGATAGAGTGGAATGGTGAAACAATATTTGATATATGGAACTAACTCCATATATTAGGATGAGGCTTTTTTGAGTTCTATTTTTTTGGGTCCTTGATCAGTAACTGATTGCAGATAACTTCATTAGTGGTAATAAAATGCAAATAGAGAACAATTACAAAGTGAAAAAGACACTTGCTAGGCTGGGCCTATCAGCTAGCCCAAATTTACATGCACAAACCAAAAGCAAGACCATTAGACTTGCCTTCCCCTCACGTCAGGATGACCCAAGTATAGTTCTAATCTCATAGTTCCCTGCCCAGTTAAGGAATCGACAAACATGTTAGCATCTCTTCACCCAGTCAAATGAGGTGTTCAACCTGGATGCCAAAAGCCTAGCTTCTCTTATGTGGTGAAGATAAAGCCAAGAAAGTAATTATTATCCCTGAATGACCCATTACAACTTATCAGTCTCCTTCAATTCCTAAAAGCAGCTCATACACCAAAGAACAGTTAATCTCATGTCTTACAGAAATGACAGTAACTGACCAAATGGAGTTTACTTTGCCAATTGGACCAGAGTAAAGAATCAGAAATTTGCACCTTGAGTTCATAAAAGCCCCCCGCCTGATGTGTTTGGGTTATCCCTACTACAACCATCAAAAGAATTTTGCTCAATGTTGTTCCATCTAGGGGGCTTCCATGCTCAGTGGATGCATAGCTTGTTGAGGTCCTCGAGGAGGGGAAAACCACATACTGCCAGCTCCTCACTATGCCATTCATGTTGAACATCTAATTCTTCTCTAGTTTGCACTCAATCATTCTTATGGCTATAAGTTCCATAAATCTAAATTCAGATTTTGTTTTTTCTTCTAAAAATCTTTATTGTTTTTCCCCAAACACTCCGAAGATAGCAGCACTGATGCACCTTTATTAAGATCTTATCTTTCTTCCTCTCTCAGGGTTGGGGGAGAAGGGATTCCTTTGTCCTATTGTGGTGTCCAGTTGGCTCCAACAAAGCAAAGAAATGCCCAAAGTTCTACTAATGAATGTCCAGGATATTAGCAAATAAAAAGTGATTATATAGTTAAACTTACAACTTACAAATGCATCTATAGGAGACAGGGGTCATCTAGGTCTGCTTTTCTATAGTGTCTCATAAACAATTATTTTTAAATGAACTACCTCCCAATAGAATGCCCCATATTCTGGGTGGAATTTGTCCTGGAAGAATTGCTTTCACAAGAAACACTTGGAGGAAATGGAACATGGGCAAGGTGCCAACCAGCAAGTTGGTAAGGTCTCCTGCTGGTCGTAGCGAAGACTTGGGATCAAATCCCGCCTGCACCTGGGTTGGGGCCTGGGGGATGGGCTACCCCCCCGTTGTGTAGCCCTTCAGAAGAAATTAAAAAAAAAAAATCCTTAAAGGAGGAGCAGGACAATTTCTGCTGGGATCAAATGTTCACACTCTTTTATCTGGCCCTCTAAACCCAGAAACACCTCTTCCAAAATAACTTAAGATGTAGATCACATCAGAAGGCTCATGATCCCTCAATCATATCCTAAATCCAAAATCTCATGTTCATAGTGAGATTTGAGTAATGTTACAAACATTCTTTCCATTCTATATATATTTTACTCTTGAAAAGAATGAAAGTTTTGTAGAAGAGCCTTAGGAATCTGTTAATTAAGATTGATCAGCAAAGTTCCTAGTTGTTCTTGAAGGATGGAGAAATGAAGCCTCTTACTTAGGAGCAATTTAATTGACTTGACATAATTATTCACATTTTAGCATTATCAGCTATTCCCTTAATATACTAGTCACATTGTTGTTGAATATTTTAATGGAGGATAATGGTTCAGTACAGGGTCCTCTTTGGTCCCATTGTAGAGATTAGAACTGGGGATGATTTGGATACTCTGCATTATAGATGCTGTCTTACTTTGAATAAAAATCAAATTATTTTTGGTGTTTTAAGACAGGTTTTCAAAATGTGATGTTTTCTTCATTGGTAAAGGTCATACTTGAACTTGTTCTTATGCAATCTAAATTTTTTTAACGTCTGTGGAATGATTAGAGGTTCTAATAGCATCTCTTCATATTGTGCTGGAATCAGTTTTGCTGATACAAAAGAAGGTCGCTACAATCCAAAAATGGATCCTGTTATTCCTGTCCATGATTGGAGGAAAGGATCCCAGGTAACTTTTTCTTTTTTAAATGGGTTTGTGTGCTGTCCTTTCGAATGTTCTTCCTGTGTTAATTTTTCTAATCATTTGTAATCTCTTCTTCAGTGGGTTGTTTTAACCAGAAAGCATGCTGAGGTTGTAGTGGAAGATGACACAATCTACCCAGTGTTTCAGCAGCATTGCAGAGTAAGTTACAGTTCTGGTTGCCATTAAATAGATATAAAATGATTTTTTCTTAATCATCTGCATAATGGGCTATGTGACCAAGCTTAATTCATGTTACACATTGATGTTTTTCGTTTGTTAATGCTTGATGCAACAGAATGCTGAGATAAGAAGGAAGGATTTTTTCAATTTTACATCCATATGTTACTGCCTATTTGTTTTTATGTAGACTGGTGTCTAATAGGATGTTATGCAGTTGGATTGATTCAATGGTTCTGATGCTTAAAGCTAAATGATAAATGGTTGAGAAAACTATGCACCCATTCTCAAGTCAACAATGGCAAGAAAAATTCTACCATGTTGAATTTATCAACTTCTGAGTTTCATAACCATTGCAGTTTTAATTTACTTCTTTGAATACAATGTTTGTCTATATAACTGGTAGGGGTGTTAGTGTAGGATGGGAAGGAGTTAAGTCCTATAATCTTCATGTGAATGGGAAAAAGAGGGAAATCAGATCCTTATAGAAGAGAGAGAAGAAAACGAAACAGACCTCAAGATAATCCAATTCAAATTCTTATCCTATAATCAAATTCTTTACTAGTCAATTTACAAAAACACATACTTATAGACTCTAGGAAGAGGGATTAGCCATCTCATTTTCCTACTTCAAATAAGGTTCAATAAAAATATTAGACTTAATCTCACTGATACTGTGCCAATGAAATTGTCAGAACTTGATTCACATTGGGTTCACAAGATCTTGGTCTTGTTGGATAGGTAACTAAATATCTTTTTTGGACACCATAATCAAGAAAAACAAACAAGTTTGGACTCTGAAAAATGGCTGCAAGACATGCTATTTATTCAACAGAGCTTGTGGAGCCCACAAGACATGTCATTAATTCAAGCTAAACTATCTGGATATCCTAGTGCACATTCTAAACTGGTTGATAATTACTAGATAAACCAAAAACTGAAAACTACAAAATTCTATAGATTTGGAAGTTGCAAAAAATTAGAGAAACACCTTTCTAGATCCAAAAGAACTAGGAAATTTAATATTTTTCAAATTACTAATCTATCAATACTCCCAAGACCATCAATCTCTGAATTAGGACCTCCTCTAAAGATTGTCTAGGTCATCTGTTCCTATAGGAGGCCCATGCACCCCATGGAGAAACCCCAAATTTTCATAAGAATGAGCAGTGGATTGGTTTTTCTTCTTTTTCCGTTTTTTTGGATTTGTTTATTGTTGTCTTCTTCCTTTTTCCCTCTTCCTCATGGTTTGCATCAGGTGTTCTAAATCTTGAAGTTTTTCGATATGGTTTTCATGAACTCTTCAATTCCTCACAGTTTTTCTATTGTCTTCTTGCTTGACAAATGGCAATGTGTTGTTACTCATCATTCTGATACCTTCTTTTTTGGAAATTATGCAGAGGAGATCACTACCTGAGTTTTGGCGGGATCAACCTTTTGTAAGCATCATCCTAACTCCTTCCTTTTCTCTCTCATTACTCGGCCATCATAATGCCAATAGTTGCAAGATCATTGCTCATAGAATTTTTGTATCATTTGAGGGCTCACCATGGTTTTATAATCTGAAATATTGCAATTAATAGAGGATACCCTTGACAGGGTGGAGTGATAAGACAGGATCTATGTACCCCATATAGTCGGGATAAGGTTTTGTTGAGTTGAAATTTATTTTTATTTTTTTAAATTGAAATAAGTAATTGCCTATACTCAAACATACAAGAAACAGTTGCCATAAAGTGTCCCTAGGGATGAGATTGCAACTCTTTATCTTTACACTCCTTTCTCATGCAGCTTGCAGATGCATCCAAGGAACATAATTGTATACCAGATGAACATTATGTTCAGACGTTACTGGCAGTAAGTGAATTTCTAAGCTCTTGACATGTTAGCTTCAAAATGATATTTTACCTTAAACTCGAATTTAACTTATTTTGAAGAACTCAGTTTTTATTGGAAATAGGAGTCTAGCCTACTAGTTTCATATTTGTTATTCGTCTTAAGGCTGTGAAGTGTAGTATTTGCTTTTGTAAGGGGTGAATTTTCTGTCAGGAATAGCTCTAATAAGTTTTTTTTTTTTTTTTTTAAGACACTTAAACCAAATCATCGACTTTACTAAAGAAAACTCAAGTATCTATTTCCCAAACAAAGTAGAAATAAACAAATAGATGGGTTTGTGACACGGGTATGGGGTAGTGAAAGATTCACTGCACTGAAATTCATATAATTACCTGATAATATTGTATTAAATTTGTTTTTAATTATTAGTTCATTTTTATTTTTAACATATAAAGAAACAGGTACAAGATGGTGGAAGAAAAACCAAAATAAACCAAAAGAAACAGGTAATTAATTGTTAATGTTTTATTAATTTTATGTAAATATTACTTTGCGCAGTTTAACTTTTTTACCTATTAGAAACAAATTCAATTAGTTTTTGTTAAGCTTCATTAAGAATGAAAGATTTTCTAACCGTAATCATGTTGACTTGGGCCCAATAGTGGTATCGTTTTAGTACCTTTTGAGAACTTGATGTCTGATTGCTCTCAAAATCTTGGTAGCTCTACCAAGTATTGTAGGCTATACTATTTCTCCTTTTGTTTTACAGTTGCTTAAGTTGCTTATGTTTCACCATCCAGCAAAAGGGACTCGAAGGGGAATTAACTAGAAGAACGCTGACACATACTTCATGGGACCTATCATTTTCCAAGGACTGGGAAAGGCGCAACTGGCACCCTGTGACTTACAAGTTATCAGATGCTACTCCAGTGCTTATACAATCAATAAAGGTAATGTGTACCACGTGCTTATTGATTTCTTGAGTGACTGGATCTGTATTGCTGATGCACACATCTAGGCCATGTTCATGAATTACATGAGAGCGTTTGGTTACAAAATTCTTGCCATGGGCCTCATCCATTTTTAGAATGCAAAATGAAGCACAAAATTTGAGATAACTTGTAGTACTAAAAATAATAGTGCTCCATGCTGCTCTTTTTCATTCTTCAAAGAAGCTCTATGCCAGCAGTTATAAACTGCATCGGTAGATCTCGAAAAACTGCTGGCACAGATTTTTACCGGCGGATGGCTGGCGATCAACTGTTGTGAAAACTTTTGCCAACGGCCATCCGCTGGTAAAAATCTATGCTGGTGGTTTATTTATGACTCCCGAAATAGAGCTTTGAAAATTTAAAATAAGCAGTACAAGGCACGATTATATGATGTTTTACTATACTTTTGTAACTTTCTTAATATATTAACATTATTATTTTGTGTTATCGATGTGGGGCCAACATGGTTGATTTGTGTTTTATTGGTTTGGGTCTTGCATGTTTCCATTATATTTGCTAATAGAGTATGTGTATACCTATATTATTATTTAGTTGATAAAAAAATGAATGAAAATAGTCACTAATAAAAGAAAATTGCTGATAACTTGATAGTATGAGGTATTTATAGATAAGCTTGATGGACTGCCAAGATAACACCTATCAATTAATAAACTCAATGAATCAGTAGCATCTAAAGAACTTGCTGACATATGCAGGACATAGATAATATTTATTATGAGACTGAATACCGTCGAGAATGGTGCAGCATTCAAGGGAAACCATCTCCTTGTTTTCTTTTTGCAAGGAAGTTCACTCGACCTGCCGCTCTCCGGCTACTTAATATGGTAAGAATGGACAATTGGGCTTTTGGTAAGCAAATTGGTGGATTGCACAAGGTCCAACTGCACTGTTTATAACTTTTGCATAAACTTCCATATCTTGTTTACGAGTTCGGCTTCTATCAGGGCAAGTTGGTGTTTGCACCGTTCGAACAATCCCTTGCAACTATGAAGATATTCCCAGCACAAGTCTGTAAAGGCTGTTGGAACGGGTTTTTCCCTGATTCAAGCCGGACACCTTGTTTACTTTTTTACTAATTAATTTACTCATTTTCCTGGTGTGCAGTCGGTGTTAGGACCTTTTAGTGAAGGAAAGAAGGGCTCGTAGTTTTGGCGATACAAGTACCATGTTGTTGTAACTTGTAAGTTTGACACGATATCAAAATTGCTGGTGATAGCAAGCTAAGAAAATATTAAATATATGTACTCCTCAATGTAAAATAATCTTTTACTTGATAGTGGCGTCATCATTTCTTTGTAATATAACAATAAAGAATGACACCTCATGTTTCTTTTCTCATTGTGTAGCTTCTAGTGTCTCTAATTGATGGGTTAAGGGAATGCTGATTATACTGCTATGGTCTATGAGTAGGAATCGAGATCTCAGTGTGGCGCATTATTCGAATTGTTTAACCATAACACCTAAAGGGCATATACCGCATAGCTGATAACCCCGTAAAAAATGTTTTAATTAGGAAGAGCGTGAGCCAGAGCCTGTCTCAGCGGCTTAGCCATAGTAAATATACATGAACAATAAGCACGTTATAGGGATGCCAATAGGTCCGGGTCAGGTTTATTCAAATGTAATGTCGGGTTGGGGTTTTTAATTCTTTTAACTCAATTGGGTTTGAGTTTGGTCATGTAAACCGTATACAGGCATATGGAAAGTTTAGGATTTGATTTATTTTTATCTTTCTTCTTTCATTAGAGAGAAAATGATACCGTAATTAACGGTTTTTAAAATTTTAAATGTCAAAAAAAAACAATTGAAAAGTAGTTATGGATTGGGTTGGTATTGGGTCGGGCCCTATAGGGTGGAAATTACATATTACTTAAGCAAGGTGCCAATCAGTTGGTTGGTAAGGTCTCCTGTTGGTTGTAGAGAAGACTTGGGATTAAATCTTGTCTACACCTGGGTTGGGGGGATGGGTTACCCCCATTGTGTAGCCCTTCAGAAAATATAAAAAAATTAGGTTTGGGTGTAGACATTGGATGCTCGGATTAGGGTTGTTTGTCTTAAAGCAGTGTTTTTTGTTCATGGAGATAAGCTGGGTTTAACTTAGGTGCCGTTTGATAAGTCTTTTTTGAAAAATCTTTCAGAAGATCTGACGGTCAAAAGGTTGTGAGCTTTTACATAAAGATCTTAGTAGTTTATAGACTGTTTGGTTGGAGGTGCATTTTTCCATGTAAAGACGAGATTTGAACAAGCAAAAAAAGATGAAAAGCTTCATTTCTAATTTCTTAGATTAAGCTTGAATTGAACTTCTTGCATCTTTTTAGGACACGGTCTTTTGGTAGAAAAATCTTCCTCCAACCAAATGGAGAAAGACTGGAGTACAAATTGTCAGGCTTCTAAAAAAAATGATAACTTGCACGGAAGACACGCCAAATGGGCCTTTACCTTCTTGTGTGGAAATTTATAGGCCTATATCTAGGTGACTAGGTGTGGCTATATGGGCTTATTATAAAGGTTTGGAACAAGATATATTCCACTAAAACGCCTTTCCTAATTGATCGCCTAATATTCATATTCCTAAACAAATTACATTCGCCGACAAGGAAAAAAATCAAAACTTTGGTGTATTACCATGACTCCACCTTGAATTAGATAAAGTGACGTGTTGATAGGCCACAGTACTATATTGAATGCCATATTTTTGGTTCTACACTATAGCAAAGGTGAACTCATTCCTAAAAGCCTCATGCAAAAAATCTTAATCCTACTGCAAACATGAAACAGCATAAATACATTATATATTTTACTCTTGATGTGGATAGTGGGTACGCATCCATACCAAATATTTCTTTTACTCGGTAAGAAATTAGGTTTCGCACTACCTTTCATACATTCAGTTTATGGTTTATGCAACTTGAGAATAAAAGGCAGGACGCATTCTCTGGTGGGTCATCTCAATTTTGGATGCAGTCCTTCACATTATCGATTCATATTCAACCCCCCTCTTTTTAGTTTTTGTTTTTCTTATTTTTTTAGGGGGGGGGGGGTCAAAGAACCCGACTCCATAAATGACATGAGGATCCGTATCTGATACAAGATCTAAATTCGCATACCCCGAAAAAAAAAATCGCATAGCCCGAAATCAGATATCTTTATAAAAAAAAAGGGTAAATTTTTTAAACTATCTTATGGTTGACTGTTTGAAAATTGACTAAGTGTATTTTTATTTTTTTTATAATTGACTAAGTGTGTCTTTAACCATTAAATATGAACGGAAAAAGTAAAATGCCCGTTATACCCCTATGCGAAATTACATTTTTATCCCTGTTTTGACTTAATTCCCTCTCAGACAGGCTGCCATCGCTATCGTCACCGACGGCAGTCGCTGCAAATACCGAACGTCGGAGGTCCGGCGGAAGTCTGGAACCACTACGGATTTCTACCGAACGGTGGTCATGCCCGTCTGAGAGAGCGCAACAAGCGGCGGGATCCCACCTTCTCTCACCAATAATCCTCTCTTCCGTACACTGTCCGTGCATAATTGCAGAAGTGTCAGTACTGCGAACTCTTTCCCTTTCACCAACCCTTCTTCGATCGCTTCAACCAAAACTGCAATCCCACCTTCTTCAACTATGGCAGTTCTTTCCTCTAGAATTGCAGCTAAGCTGCTCAAAACCACCATCACCTTCTCCGTCAAACCGCTCCCTTGCTCTGAAATCAAGTCCACCAGTGGTTTCACGGCTCCTGCATTAACGACCCTCTCTTTGTTCTGTTTCATAGAACAGAGCTTGTAGAGCGTCGTAAGTGCGTTCTTCCCTCGATTTGATCCGTTCAGGAGCAAAGAGACCAGTGGAGGGATCGCTCCGCAAGCACTGATTAAAACCTTGTTGTCTTCGATTAACGAGAGGCTGAGTAGAGCACATGCGGCGTTCTGCTTCGACACCTTTGTACGGGTTTTCAAAATGTAGACGAGAGGCTTTATGGCTCCGGCATTCATGATGGGGGACTTGTTCCCTTCATGGAGAGAGAGGTTTAACAAAGCAGTTACTGCGTGCTCTTGTGTCTAGGGACCGGTACAACAAAGGAGAGGTATCAATGCTGGGATGGCACCGGATTCACCGATTAGTGCTCGGTATTCGGATCTATTCTTTGCCAAGAGGTGCAATTTCGCTGGCTGAGCGTTTTATGGCAGCTGACGGCGATTGAAGATCGTCCATGCAGATCTTCACCGCTGGTTCAAGATTTTCAGAAGAAATGTTCTCGAAGATCTCTGATGAGAGATTCTCCCGCTGCAGAAATCCTAACCATGGCTCAGGCTCCAGATCCGAGGATTCACATTTGTGTTGATGTTTAGACGATGGAAGAGAAGCCAACCTTTGCGGCTCCCCTGAAATGTCGCTACTACAGGCCGAGTAAAAACAGGGATAAAAATGTAATTTTGTATAGGGGTATAACGAGTATTTTAACTTTTCCGTCCATAAAGATAGTTTAAAAAATTTATCCAAAAAAACAGATATTTTTATGGTTTGATAAATATGCGTCTGTGATTGGAATATTCCTTGCACCCCTAATTGCCTGCCCCAACTCTCATCATAGATGTTCTGCATAACGCAATATAGAAAAGCCTTTGACTAGTTGACAGTTTCCATTTTAGAGGTACATACATTGAATAGATTACACATAAATTGTAAGTCCATGAAATCCCATCAAAAGTTGTCCTCTAAACTCCAAAGTATGCAAGTTAAAAACCATTTAACCTGTAGACAATAAATTAATGGAGTCCTACATAAACAGGATGGTTGTTATTCCAGAATCCAGAAAAGATTAGCTATAACGGAATCTCGACGCATAGGATTCCCATCCAATTGTGATAGGCCTTACTTCAGGATTCCAGAGAATCGGTTCGGCGGTTGATACTCGAGATGACAACTATCTACCTTCATAGTTTGAGACTCGCTTTCCAGCTGAAGTCCCTTCATTTTGCTGCCCTTCTATGTTCCACCAAAGTACAGAATATATAGACTGGAATTTTCAGTTGGGGGAATCAATAGAATACCTTAACACCATTTAAATAAAGATGCTTTAGCTAAAGGATGTTGTGATTCTCCATCCTTTCATTTTTAAAAGAAGAAAAAGTATCGAATTCGATTTAGGTGAGACTGACCAAAGCAGAATACTAGCAACAGTTTATGACTTTTATTTGGGCTGGCCGAGGTACTGGGCCTAGGTTCAAGCCCATCCCTAAATATGGATTAGTCCAGACAATTATTGCCTTATATAGGGGATTCACTCAAGGGTGGGGACGGAGCAGGAGCAGGGTACACGTGAGGCCCATTGACCATACCACGGTGAGCCTGCAACTGCAATTCCGCACATCTACCTAATAGCTATACTACAACGAGGCTGCCCCAGTCTTAAATGCAATTTAGATTAGTTGTACTTGGTCATATTTTAATAGGTGGTTACGGGCCGTGATGGGTCTACAGTACATACGGCCCATGGTCGACACTATGCCACCAAGCCTGGACCAGGAGTAAATGGGCCAATAGGAGCCACCCTATTCTGCCTGCAGTTGAGCTGGGCAGGAAGACGAGTGCAAAACTAATCTCAGCGATGCAAATTTGTTCTTGCACATACAAAATTGTGTATCGTCTTGTCCCTTGAATTTGAATTTCTGCTCTTCTAAAAATTTTATCATCTATGCTATGGTGTGACGTGGACAACCACCACCCAAAATCTACAAACTTCAGAATTAGTCAACCCTCCCTTCATTTTCTCCATAACCGACTCCCCATAAACGCCCGCCTCGCATCTGGTCCCGTTGGAAATCATTGAATGTTTGATCCAACGGCCACCAGCTCGGAATCCACTACCCCAAGCACCGAAACAGAAGTAGGTTCGGTGGAGACCGGAGAGAAGTCGAGAACGCACTCCAGTTTGTGCAGTCCAACTCCAATCCCACGCCCACGGCCCACGGCCCACGCTTGTTTATCATCATCCCTCCTCAAGTCAAAATTGCACCTTCCGAAACTTCTAGTCAAGTCTCAGTCTCCTCTTGCCTAGCCCAACCTGAGTAGTTTGAGTAGGGGGAGGGATTTTCTCATTCTCGTTATATGACGTGGCAAAATGAAATCGGTGGGGTCTACAGTCTACCTTGGACATCTTTTACCTGGTCAATGATTGTGACCGTTCGATCTAGTAGCTTCTTGTACGACCTGATAAAACACATGATGAGTAGCAGCAGTTCAGTGGGAAAGGAAGGCGGAATGGGAGTGGAATCCAGGTTTTGCATTTTGGGTGTAGGAAAAGATTCTTGGTGGGCCGCCTAGTAAATGGTGGACCACCCCACTGTTCCTTGTTATTTTAATATATTTCAAAAATGTGGCCCGCAATTAAAGCCCATGACCCACGAGCCCACTGTCCACTCCACTTTGGAGTCTGGAGTCTGGAGCCTAGAGCCTGGAACCTGGATGCCTGCCTTAATGATTATGATGTATGAGATGGAGACCATCCCCATGGGATACAATAATGCATGACTTATTTATCATGTGCCCATCCCAACGAGTTTCATCACTCGTCATCAGCATCACTGTCGAGAAAATCGCGTTCACATCATCCGGTTTTTCCATGAGCATCATCATCACGATGCACATGATGATGATGATGCATGGGGGTATGGTGGCCCACCGGGAGATGATTCATGATTCCCTGAGCATGCGGATTGGATTCCCAACTCACCTCAGGATCCGATCCGATCCCAGTTGAGTCTACTACTCGAAGTCTCAACTCTCAAAATCTGAGACTGCAAATGCGATGGACCACGACACGAAGGGAGAGAGGTCAGCGACATGTTCCGATGGGTTTGTCTCACACCTGAGCTACGCTTGGTTTAGAAAACTTGCCAAAGCCTTCCTATAGACTAGACAAAATGATTGCTTTAACATCGCCATTCCTGTGCTACCTTTTATGACTCCCACACATTACATTACAATTTACAAGTTGCAACCCTCCTCTGGCTCTGGATAGATGGATCTCATTTTCCTTTTCCACGTTTTGGTTTTAATTAACACCCTTTAGGAATTCTAATCCTATCAATGTCAAAGGAAAGCTATGCAAAAAGACACTAATACCCTCCTCAGTTCTTTTCTATTATTATTATTATTATTATTATTATTATTATTATTATTATTATTATTATTATTATTATAAGCATTCTTCTTATCCAGACCACATCATCGCTCCACATGGCAAGAAATGAGGCTGGTCAAACAGGAAGGCTTGACCTGATTTATATAAATACATACATACATGAGAGAGAGAACCAAAAGGAACCATATTTTATTGAATCATGGGCTATATGCTCTTTGGAGAGGGATGGAGAGAGGGAGGGATTTGAAATCTAATTATTCCCCATTTAGGAACCAATTCGGATCATGGGCTAACGCTCATTAAGTTATTCTCTCCATTGGTTTGGAAAGCGTATCATCTAGAACTCTAGATTGTAGCTAATGTTATGCTTTCTTAATGATTCTATTCTCTTCTTTTGAAGTTGGTCGAAATGGTGTTCTCTTTATTATTATTCCGCTTGTAAGAACAAAAAAAAAAAAACTTCAAGCATCTTTCATCCAAGACAAATTGACAAATTCTTTTTTTATCTCTTCTAAGGTCCTTTAGACTTTGAATTCATTCTCTTTTGAAGGCTGACCTTTGAATTCATTCTTTTTGAAGGCTGACTTTGAATTCACACTCCACTGTGAACTCAAGATCAAAGTTAGGCAACTGTAGAACTAGTGTAGCGGAGAGGGTTTTTCTTAATTTTACAAAGGCTGCTTCAGTTGTACCGTCCCAGAGGAAGGCGTTTTTCTTGAGCAGACTTGTTAGCGGGGCTGCCAGCAGTCCGTAATTGTGAACGAACTTGCGGTAGTATCCGGTCAGCCCTAGGAAACCACGGAGGGCCTTGGCGGATTGTGGTCTGGGCCATTCTTTGATGGTCTGAATCTTGGAGTCTTCCACAGTGACCCCTTGACCGCTAATCACATGTCCTAAGTAAAGGACCCTGCATTCCCCAAAGGAGCATTTTGACCGTTTGAGGAAGAGCTGATGTTGCTGCAGGAGTTCAAGAACAATTCGCAGATGCTGCACGTGCTCTACCCAAGATTTGCTATTGATTAGGATGTCATCGAAAAATACCAAGACAAATCTCCAGAGATGGGAGTGAAACACCTCGTTCATCAGGGCCTGGGAAGTGGATGGCGCATTGCTAAGACCGAAGGGCATGACCAAGAACTCGAAGTGGCCATGGTGTGTTCTGAAGGCCGTTTTCTCTACATCTTCTGGGGTCATGCGGACCTGGAAGTATCCTGATCGAAGGTCTAGCTTGGAGAAGTACTGCGCTCCATGGAGTTCGTCTAACAGCTCATCTACGACTGGGATGGGAAACTTATCTTTGACTGTCCGGTTGTTAAGTTCTCTGTAATCCACACAGAATCTCCAAGTCCCGTCTTGCTTGGGCACCACGAGAACTGGGGAGGAGAAGGGGGAGCGGCTGGGGCAGATGATCCCTTGCTGTAACATGTTTGCGCACTGCCTTTCTATTTCATCTTTCTGCTGATGTGGGTAGCGGTAGGGCCTGACAACAACGGGATCTGATCCAGTTATCAGAGGGATTCGGTGGTCACAAGATCTGGGAGGGGGAAGCCCCTTGGGCTCCTTGAATACTGCAAAGAAGTCCGTAAGGAGCATTTCCATATCTGTTGAGCGTGAGTCCCCACTATGGAGTGTATGTAGCTGCGCCCTTGTTCTTATTCTGGTTCCCCGCCATGTGACTGGTTTGCCATCCAAGTGGAAGGTCATGGTCAGGGCGGCGAAGTCCCATAGAATTGGTCCAAGTGTGATCAGCCATTTAACACCTAGGATGATGTCAAATTCGTCCAAGGATAGCACGAATAAATCTGCTTGGAATGACTCTATTCCGACCTGAATTCTGGTGTCTTTGCAAATTCCGGGGCTATGAACTCTTTCCCCGTTTGCCACGGCCACCTGTAATTGTGGTCTTCTTTCCATGGGCAGTTCTAACTTGTGGGCCACCTGTTCGCTAATGAAGTTGTGGGTGCTACCCGAGTCTATCAGAATACGGACTGGCCACCCTGCTATCAATGCTCTCAGCTGCATGGTTTGGGAGGTCTTGACCCCCGTAATGGCATGGAGGGAGATTTCTGGTTCTGATGTTGCAAGTTCGTCCTCTTCCTCTTCGGGTTCTTCTACTAGAAGATAGAACAACTTCTTACACTTGTGGCCGGCGGAGTACAGGTCATCGCAGTTGAAGCACTGCCCCCTTGCGCGCCGTTCCGCCATCTCGGCTCGGGTCAGCCGCCTAATGGGGGGTGTAGACCTACTGCTTCCTATGCTTGACGCTGATCTGGTGGGGTTGCCCGTAGGCAGCCTTGGTTCTCTGCTGACGATCAAAGAGGGAGTCACTCCTGCTGTCTTCGAAGGCGTCCATGTTGCTGTCGACCGTCCTATACTGAAGCCCCCGTGGGAGATCTGCATCTTCCTTTCGAAGGTGCGTGCGAGGTTCATAGCTGTGACTAGATTAGGGGAGTGTCGCATCTCGACGTCCACCCTTAGGGGTTCCACCAGCCCTGCTGTGAACATATCGACTTGCTAGTCTGGGCGTACCGAGGCTGCTCTGGCGAGAAGAGTTTGGAACTGGCGCTGATAATCCGCCACAGTCTCGGTCTGCTTGAGGTTGATCAGTTCGCCCAGCGGGTTGCTTGTCAGCGGGGGTCCAAACCGAAGGAGACAATAGGATTTGAATTGTTCCCAACTAAGCCTGGGTTCTTCCTGCTCTAGACGATAGAACCAGAGTTGTGCCTCTTCTGTGAGGTGGAAAGCGGCTAGACTGACATTGTCTCTGTCATCGGTGCGTTGGTTGCGAAAGAACTGTTCACAGTGGTGCAACCATCCTAGTGGGTCTCCAGCGCCGTTGTAGGACGGAAATTCTAGCCGACTGTATTTGGGGATAACATCGGTAGTCGGGGTGGCCGTCTGATGTTCGCCAGACGTTTCTGCCCAATCCGGTCTGCGGCTGTTGTTGGTGGCGGTTCCTTTTGAGTTTCTTTCCCTATTGGCTAAGAATGTCTCCAGCAAGCATCGAAGCTCCTGGACATCATCCTTGACCTCACGTACCTCCATGCTGGTCTCTGCAAGTTTGTGCTCCAATTCGTGGACCTTGGAAGACGACTCTTGTTCCCCCATGACGGTAGGCTCTGATACCAGAATGTTATAGGCCCGCGCGTAGGATCTCGTTACGGGTCGGTCCACCGGGAGAGACTCCTGTCTTCCCTTGCCCTTGCCCTTGCGTACAGACACTATTGTGGCAATCGCGTGGGTGATTTGTCCAAGAGATCACCCGAACTCTCCTAACACCTTTCTTGGTTGAAAACTGAATGCCTTTATTTCAATTCGTGGCTCCTTAAATAGGAGATTACAGAAGGAAATTCCTAATTAAACTCAAACTCCTAATTACCTACTCCTAATGGTAACACAACTCTTACTTAAGATAAGATAAGATAAGGATAAGGAATGGCGTAACTGGCAGCGAGTTTGGCGTGCAGAGATGGCGTGGTAAGATAAGTGCAGACCCACCCTGATGAGCTGTCGTGTGGGCCCCGCCCTACTGCTGCTGCCGTGCGGTGCGCGCGTCTCACAGTCCTGTTGTCGTGTGGTGTGTGCTACTGCTGTCGGCCGGTGCGTGCAGCGTGCTACAGGGCGGTGCGTGCTGCTGTGCGTGCCGCTGCCTATAACTGCGCCACAATGTGGTGCTGGGCGATGTATCCATAACATCAACATTAACTTCCACAACCGCAGCTTACGTCACATGAAATCCTTTTAAAGCGGGATAGGCTTTTCATATGATGAAATCGAACAGTCTGATATAATAAGATAGAGCTTATTTTTTTAAATAACCTTTCAACCAATAGAAAATGCAATATTCTCTTCTCTTCATAATCTCCTCAATTTTAAAGTTTAACTCAATGCAATCTTTTAGGCTTCATGCAATCAATCAACCCCTGCTCGCCATGATTCCTTTCTCATTTCATCAGACGTGGCTTCATGTCTGCATTCCCACCTTCCATTCTCCCTTTACAAGTATGGCAGTGGTGGAGCTCCATGGTCATGTCTTCAACATCATTAGCTTAGCTCTTTTTGATTCACAATTTCAACTCCTTCAGCGAAAACCTAGAAACAAAAAATAGAAGTAGAATCAAGTCAGTGCTACAGTGTATCCCAACACCAAATGACTGTATGAGGTAAATCGTCTAGTGGCACCATCTGCCGTCGGTTGTTCCAAATTGGTATTCATGACATGTTCTCTGTGCAAATGACTTCAATCTGACGCTGCTCAACAACATCGTCGTTAAACTACAATATAACCTCACCGAGTGTTGTAATGAGCTCAATGCCAAATATATTGCTGATGGACATGTGGTGCAGGTGCAGGCCTGTCTCTCTGTGTCTTGTCGAACAAGTGCATTATTTTGAAGAGGCCTCCGTCCGGTAAGTGAGTGTATAACTACGAGTGGCTTGTGGACTGTTTGAATATATATCCTTTTATTGCTTTGTTCTAAATTTAATAATCTAGATATAACAAAATTTGAACTTTGCTTTATTTATATATTTATTTGATGAGTGCTCTACAGGTTAAGTAAAAGGAAATTGCAACTTAGAAAATCTCCTACACCATCATCTAGATCAAATACCTCGACCTTGAAGCTAGGACTCTTTCTTGTCCTCATGATTCTTAATTGTGGAAGATGACTTGTTTTGTTTTAGCATGACTTGACTTAAGTATTTGTCATCACGTCGTGCAATATTGTTTTCTTGATTATGAATTATTTTTATTAAGATTTGTAATTTTGAATTTAGATTTTTGTAATTCATTCAAAACCTTTGAGAATGCGTTTTATTACATTAAGAGATTGACGTGGATCTATAAATATTCATATCCGAAGTAAGTTTGTAAGCAACCCTTATTGACCATATGTCAAAAAGTAAAGTCTTGTTTGTTTTTTCACATTTGCATGAATTAAAAATAAACAATTGGTAAGTAACAGATGATTAACTTGTAATAACCCTATCAATTTTTACTTAACATTTTATTTTATCTCTTACTCTCGTGCCGATCAGCACGGGTTATAACTTCGCTACTTTTAACGTATGACGAAAAGGGTTATTAATTTTAGGATAAATTACAAAGACCCCCCTATACTATGGGGTCTATGACAAAACCCTCTGTATTTTGTTTTATGATTATTCCATATACTATGACTGTGAGACAAAGGCCCCCCTTAACCGTTAATCAGATGACAGAATGCGTTAAATCACCAAAATATTTTATTAAATTTTTTCTATTTTTTTTCCCTTTTTCTCTTAAAACCTATTTAACTTATTGTCTTTTCTTTCCTCTCTTCTTTTCCCCTCCCTCACCGTCCTCTCTCATTATTTCTCTCTCCCAACTCTCCAAAATTAAAAGAAACACATTAAAATTGTCAATCCTTGAATTGTCTCTGTGTTCGCTAAATTAAACAAAACAAAATGAGAAGGAAACTAACTAAATGCCTAAATTCATAATAAAGAAATCTCTCTCTCTCCAGATCTTAATCAACTCACCCAGGGAGGAGAGAGCTTTCTTGCCGTCACTACTCTGTTTTTCGCATCAAGGTGGGAGACGATGAATAGTAACTCTATGTCCCTCTGTATTTATTTCATTGGAGAAAATGGGAGAACAGGGGAGGGAGATGTGGAAAAACGACGAGAGGTGAGAGGATCGGAGGTGGAGGAGACCGCCGTTGCCGCTACGGTGTGTCGAAGAACCGAAGAAGATGAACAATGCCCCTCTTGGATCATCGTTGAAGCCAAAGGTTTCAATTTTCAAATCAGAGTCTTCCCCTCACAATAAGTAGAAAAGTAGAGAATCAATGGCAGGCTATCTGCCGGGGTATCTAGTTCCAGGATATGGCTACGGTGTGCCACCCACCCAGCCGTATGGAACGGCCACTCCCTACGGAGCACCACCGGTGCAACCCTACGCTCCAGTAGCCAATCCCTACGTTGTGCCTTCTACGCCCTACGCTCCCGGCCACACGCCAAGGGACAAGCCCTCCAAGGACAAGCACAAGCCCCATGGAAGTGGAAGCAGCTCGGGTGGTGCTCCTTTGCCTTACTCCGCCTATCAACCGTCTTCGGCACCACTGCCCTCTAGCTATCCACCGGCTTCCGCCCCACCGCTTTTCGGCTACCCACCGTATGGAATCCCTTTCGCCTCTCTAGTGCTGTTGGCATTCCCTCCGGGAATTGATCCCAACATTGTCGCTTGCTTTCAGGCGGCCGATCAGGTGACTCCATATAATATCAGTGCTTGTTCCCTCTACCCATCTCAAGACTCTCAACTTCATCAAGAATGAACTTGCCCCAGAAGGGGTGCTACCTCCACACGAGCATCATCTCCTCAATGGGCACACCTCTCTTCTCCGGCAAAAACAAGTAGATGAACACTGTCATGATCAACACCCACCCAGCAAAGAAGTAGAGTCCGAACTTGAATTTGCAGAGCACCGCCAAGAACACCTGACCAACGATGAAGGTGAACAACATGTTCACTGCCACCAGTACTTTGGGCGGCCGACCTGATCTCGAGTCCTTAGTCTAAACGTGGCCGACAAGAAGAGTCAGAATGCCAGTGTTAGAATTTAAACAAGCAAAACAGATGATACCACCGGCAATCTAAACGTGGCCGGCCTCCAACCGACTTGAAGCCAGGCACTGTAAGATTATTTCATCCTTGTTATACAGTAACTCCATCCTTCTGCTGTTTGTTATTCATCTGCAAGAACGAAAAACAGAGGAAATCGAAAAGAAGAAAGGGGAGGAGAGAAAGGGGAAGGATAAGAAAGAGATCGGGGGAGAGAGAGAAAGGGAGGACTTTGCATAGAAGTCCGCTACAACACTACCACTGCTGTTGTTCGTGTATCATGAGGTCGGACAAGATTAACACTGTTTATTTTTTCAATTAAAAGTTATTACAAAGATAGTATAGATATTAAAAAATATTGGAACGACAGATTTCAATGAAAAACTAACGGAAAGGGGTATTTGTCTCACGGTTATAGTACAAAGAGGTCTTAATCACAAAACACTTAAGGGTTCTTGTCACAGACCCCAGAGTACGGGGGTCTTTATAATTTACCCATAATTTTATATTCTACAAAGATTTCATTACGTGGCTTCTGTCTTCATCTAATCAGGTTGATGACCTGCCTTCCAAAAAGGAAAAGGTTGATGACCCGTCACCATCTTTGGTTCCGGATTTAGCGCTAAGAAATGGTGAAAATACTTCTATTCTCACTCTAGCTGAAGAGCACTATTTTTAGGTTCATCTAACTTTGCAGAAGTTTAAGCGTGTATCCATGGAGATCGGATTCAGTGCTCAAGATTAGGTGTGAGCACGGACCAAATCCGATTCTACAGCCAACCAGCCATGAGTGTGACTTGTGGAACAATGTGTTATATAAATTAGGAATGGGTAACGAGATGGGTTTGGCACGCGGACCATAAGTCCTAGTCCCCCACTCTGGTCCCCGGTCCTATTGGGGAGAAAAGCTAACCTCCACCTCCAATCCCCATGGGTTCTCCATTGGGATCCCAAATCTTTAGGGTGAGGACGTCATTCCCAATCCCCATTGCCAATCCAACCAGGTCCGGGAGGTTGGTACGGGAATAGGAACTTATAAAAAATGTGTGTATTATTTATGGTTTTCTTTAATTAGTTTCTAAGTTATTTTGAATCTACTTGTTCTTTAATTTTTATGAGCATTTATATGTTTAATGCCTTCGATACCCTCCTAGCCTTGATTCAATATATTGATATGTGATGAAGGAAGATTTGGCCCGATCTCGTAACCACTCAATACGCGGCAAAGGCAACAGCTCGGCACAACCGCATGCCCAAGGCACGAGCTCCGAAGGGAGGAACCAGCGGTCCGAACTCCCTACAAGGAGCCCGAACTCCCTACAAATGGCCCAAACTCCCCGTAAGGAGCCCGGACTCTCTCTTAGGCCCCGAGCCTTACGAAATAACCCGAACTGGCCCGGCCCATGGCAGTTCGGGCCACACTTCTATTCGAACTCAAGACTTAACCTCGCACACCACACCAGCACTTCGCCTCCAGGACGCCGAACTAAACAAACCGCACCGTACCTGACACCGAAGGAGTCCGTATCCAGGGGCGGCGCGCCTGACTGACTTGGGATCTGACGCTTGGCAGCCGCACTTCAACGACCACCTGTCACCTCCATCTCCAGTTACAGAGACGGCTCCGACAAAGAGAGTAGTGGCGGTTCTGCCCCAACAGAGGTGATGGCACCCGAACTGGCAGAAGCACAGAAGTAATCATACCCGACCTGATAGAAGCTTAGGAGTGAGTGTGCGAAGTGGTTATAAAAGGCTCCCTACCCCCCAAGAACAAGGTATGTGAACTTTGCGCCATCTGGTTTTATCTTTCCTTTGAGGAAATACTAACTTGAGCTTCAGAGCATACTCACCTGGTTCTTCCCCAGAGGTTACTCTCTTTCCCCTTCGTTTCAGGCACCTTCTGCTCCAGCCCGAGGCAAGATCTTTGACAGCTAGGACCCACCGGATTGCGCACCATCAATTGGCGCCATCTGTGGTAACGCTTCTAAAAGCCTCCCTCTAAAACTCTCATAACCTCTTTTTTCCAAAAACCCCAACACTCATGGCTTCTTCCAGCAATGCCGAACGTGGCACGGACATGAACACTACCGGGGAACAACTTCAAGTCCCCGTGGTGTGCATCGGACAGTACACCATCCCCCTTCCGGTGGATGGGATCCCCAGCCTGAATGCGCCACGAACAGTGGCGCCCGTAAACCTTCCTGCCATGAACGTCCCCTTTCCTCTCCCTGTCGAAACAACCTTTACTGAACCAACTGCTGTCCCCCTGGCGACCAGCCAGAACCAGTTGGACGACCTGATGCAATGCATGCGGGCAATGCAAGTCCAAATGCAACAATTCCAGCAACATCATCTCCAACAGCACCAAGTACTGCACCACATCTCTCAGTATCACTATCAGCAGTAGTTCCCCCAACTGCCTATGAACAAATCACTGCTTCCACCTCGGCACCCTACTCCAAAGCCGGTTAAGCCCTCCCCTCAGGGTGGACGCCATCACCGAGGAGAAGCCTCCCAACTTCAGAACCCCCACAAGAGCCATGCCTCATCCCTGGGCAGAGGGGAAAGAAAAATCACCCCCGCCTCGCAGCTTGCCGGCGGGTCGGGAACCTCGCCCACCAAGTCAGTATCTCGGCACTCCAAGTCTGAGCTCCCGCTGACAGAGAATCGACTCAGTGTTCTGGCGGCAGACTACCAACAGTCCGGGCCCATCGAGCTCGGCAACACAGAGGCCAGCAGTGCCAGTACCAGGCCCACTCAACAACGAAGACGCCGGCGAAGTTGCCAAACTGCCACCTGTGTCCTGCCCGAGCTCAGAGGTAAAGAAGAGACAAGCTCGGACGAGGTAAAAGCTGCCCCGATTCTCTCAGTTCCTTCCCCCCTCGCATCGGAATTCCTTGAAGTCCCCATGCCCAAAGACTTCAAGCTCCCACCACGTCGATGCTTTCCTGTCCCAAATGCACCTGGCTAGGGCCAGTGAATCGTGCATGTGCGTGGCCTTCACCACCACCTTCAGAGGGTGGCCCGCACTTGGTACAGGAACCTGGCCCCCGGGTCAATAAGAAGCTGGACCCAGTTCGTGCAGGTCTTCACCGCACACTTTGTTACCAGCAAGCGATGCCTCAAAACCGAGGAAAGCATCTTTGGAGTAGTCCAGAGGGAAGGAGAGTCCATCCGGGGCTACATCAAGCGGTTCAATGACGCGTGCTTGCAGATACCACGATTGGACCCCGCGGTGCAGCTCGCGGCGGCCAAGAAAGGAGTAACACACAAGGAGTTCAAATGGCACATGGTAGCTAACCAGTCCGCGACCGTAGTCGAATTCCTCAATCTCGCGGATAAGTTCATGAGAACAGAGGAAGAGATCAACCAAAGGACCGAAAGCGGGATCGTGAAAAGAAAGAGGGAAGGCGAGCCCTCCAACCCAGTCGATAGAAGAAAAAACCCAGCCCGGGAGCCGAAGCCGAGCCAGCCGTTCCGAGCTCCCTTAGCAGTTCGGACGGACTACACACCGTTAAACATGAGGCAGACCGAGATCTTGATGACGATCAAAGACGCCCCATACGTAAAATGGCCACCTCACCTAAAGGGGAACCCAAACGGGAGAAATAAAAACTTGTATTGTATTTTCCATAGAGATCACGGTCATAGTACCGAACAGTGTAATAATCTCCGGGACGAGATAGAGGGACTCATCCGTGGCGGATACTTGAGAAATTTTGTACAGCATAATAATAATAATAACAATAAGGCAGGTCGGCAAGGGGAGCACGGAAGGGATGCCCCCGAATCCAGCAACAGGCCAGCAGAGCAGTCGCAAAAGCAACCCCCGGACGAAAGGCTAGTTCGGGGAACGATTCATGTGATCGT